CCACAGAGGTCTACACAAGGAGGCCAGCACACAATATCTCACAGAGGTCCACACAAAGAGGCCAGCACAGAAGGTCTACGCAAGGTCTACACAGAAGAGGCCAGTACAACAGGTCTATACCAAGGTCTGCACAACTCAGTCAGACCCTCCGCAGTCTTCGCCCTGATGGATGACGGGCGGCAATGGCGGCCGTGACTCAGCAGCGGCCTGATGGAAAAGGCGGCCGGATGGTGGTGATGGACGCGGTGGCCGCAGCGGCAACGGCAGCTTGGTGGCGACCACGGCCTAGCGGCGACTGTAGCCTGATGGAGAAGGCGGCGATGACCCCCGGCAACGGCGGCGGCCCGGCGGTTATTCAGCCCCTACAACGGGGTGGTGATGATCCTGTCCGGGCGGTGGCGGCACCGGCCTAGCAGCACTGGCGACCGCAGCTCAACAGCGGCCTGATGATAATGAGGCTGCAGCGGCCGCAGCGTCGGCCTGGTGGCGGCTGCGGCCTAGCGGCGGCCGCGGCCCGGCAGCGGCTCAGCCCCTGCAGAGGGGCGGCGATGGTTTCGTCCGGGCGGCGGCGGCGGCGGCGGCTCAGGGCGATGTCGGCCGCGGCCTAGCAGCGGCCCGGTGGTAGTGACGGCCGCGGCGGCCGCGGTGGCCTAGAGGTGGCAGCTGCGGCCTGGTGGAATCGGCGGCGGCGGCTCGGCGGCGGCCGAGCCCCTGCTGCGGGCAGCGATGGTCTCTTCCGGGCGGCGGCGGCCGCGGCCTGGCGGTGGTATCGGCCGCGGCCTGGTAGTAATGGCGGCCGCGTCGGCCGCGGCCTAGTGGCGGCTGCGGCCCGGTGGTGGTCGCGGCGACGGCCTCCGACGACTGCGGCGGTGGCGGCCCGGCGGCGGCTCAGCCCCCACAGAGGGGCGACGGTGGCCCCCGTCCGGGTGGCGGCCTAACGGTAATGACGGCCGCGGCTCAGCAGAAGCGGGGGCCCGGCGGCGTCCGGTAGGGTGGCGGCCCGTTGAAGGCAGGGGGCCGATGGAGACAGCGGCAGCGGCGGCCCGGTGGCCTGGCGATGGTCTGGCCAGCCGACAGTCCCTGGAAAGTTCACAGAGGCCGCAGAGGCCGCGAGGCTGCAGGTAGGTCAGCCGCAATGTAATGGCGGCGACCGCTCCTCCTTCTTCTTCTCCTACTTCTGCCTCTCCTCTGCCTTCCTGGCTCTTTCCCCCAACTCTGCGACCCTCTATGGGGAGCGTGAGGCTCGGGGTCTCTCTCCCCTCAGTTTGTAGATGGATTGGTGGGAGAATGGCGCGGGATTCCTTCAGATTTTAAATTTAGGTAGAGCAGCTCAGCATTTCAGCTGCTTACCACCATGCCGGAACCGGAAGTCTCCAGTCTCCAGGTCTCCAGGGAAGCAGAAAGGAAGCTTGCTCCCTCCTCCTCCCTGTGGCTTCCTCCCACATGTTTATACATGGCTATCATATCTCCTTTCAGCCTTCTCTTCTTCAGGCTAAACATGCCCAGCTCCTTTAGCCGCTCCTCATAGGGCTTGTTCTCCAGACCTTTTATCATTTTAGTTGCCCTCCTCTGGACACATTCCAGCTTGTCAACATCTCCCTTCAGTTGTGGTGCCCAGAATTGGACACAATATTCCAGGTGTGGTCTAACCAAAGCGGACTAGAGCATGGGGAGCATGACTTCCCTAGATCTAGACACTAGGCTCCTATTGATGCAGGCCAAAATCCCATTGGCTTTTTTTGCCGCCACATCACATTCCTGGCTCATGTTTAACTTGTTGTCCAATTCATCCTATGGTCTGGGTGGAAGGAGCACTGCAGAGACCAAAGTGGTGGGCACTGGAGGTTTTTAATTCCATCTGCGGATATATGATGGGTTTGTCTTTCACCCCTTGAAACAAGGGGGTTGGAGGGGTGCAAAGGATGGTCAAGATATTTGGGAGGCTTTCCTGGAAAATGGAGGGCTTCTTCTTCTTCTTAGGATATCAGGAAGAAAGTCCAATGGGTCCAGGTGGATTCCTGATGGGATGCAGGTCGGACACCTGGACTGATTTCACCTGGAAAAACAACAGTCTCTGATTTAATTCTTACTTTTAGTAAAAACTGTATTGCAGTTACTGTATGTATGGCAACCCTAAAGTCAACCTATCTCAGCCACTCTGTACAGCGGTAGTTCTCAACCTTCCTAATGTCATGACCCCTTAATACAGTTCCTCCTGTGGTGGTGACCCCCAACCATAAAAGTATTTTCATTGCTAATTCATAACTATAATTTGGCTACTGTTGTGAATTGTAATGTAAATATCTGATATGCAGGATGTATTTTCATTCAATGGACCAAATTTGGCACGAATACTCGATACGCCCAAATTTGGATACTGGTGGAGGTTGATTTTGTCTTTTGGGAGTTATAGTTGCTGGGATTTATAGTTCACCTACAATCAAAGAGCATTTCAAACTCCACCAACAATGGAACTGAACCAAACTTGGCACACAGGACTCCCATGACGAACAGAAAATACTGGAAGGGTTTGGTGGGCATTGACCTTGTGTTTTGGAGTTGTAGTTCACCTCCATCCAGAGAGCACTCAAACAATAATGGATCTGGACCAAACTTAGCACCAATACTCAATATGCTGAAATGCAAACACTGGTGGAGTTTGGGGAAAACAGACCTTGACATTTGTGAGTTGTAGTTGCTTTATAGTTCAACTACAATCAAAGAGCATTCTGAACCTCACCAACAATAGAATTGGGCCAAACTTCCCACACAGAACCCCCATGACCAACAGAAAATATTCTTGCTTTCTGATGGTCTTTGGTGACCCCTTTGACACCCCTTCACAACTTCCCCCCCCCGGGGTCCCGACCCCCAGGTTGAGAATCACTGCTATACAGACATGTTCACTCCCATGCGGTGCTCCAAATTCAGCCAAACAGGGAATATTAACCTTCTCACCAGCCACCACTGAAGATGATGGGCCATGCAATCTAAGCCCTTGCGCAGTGGCAACTCATCTGGCTGGATACTGGGCCCATAACCCTTGTCACAAGGTGTGCTTGTGCGTGAAGTCGTTTATGGTTTTCAAACTTCCCTGAACTGCTGCAAGCGGGATAGCAAGTGTCCCAGAAGCAAGCAAAAACACAGTTCTTTCCCAGCAAAACATGCTTCTCCCTTCTATTAACAGAGCCCAACTGCCAGCTTCTGACATTATCTATACAGTTTTCATCTATGCTGATGATTGTGCCATCAACACTCAAGCAGGGAGCTTTGAGATGATTGAACAGAAGCTCTCCGAAGCTCTAGGTGCTCTAACTGCCTATTACAGGGAAAACCAGCTGATCCCTAAACATATATCATATATATAATATCACAAAGGACGACCACCTCACCCGCCTCATAGGAAACCTGCTACAAAACAGGAGCTTTTTTGTTGAGTTCCAGGGCCAGAGAAGCAGATGGCGGAAACAGAAGAACGGCCTGCCTCAGGGGAGCGTGCTTGCTCCATCCATGTTCAACATCTACACAAACGACCAGCCACTGCCAGAAGGGACAGAGAGTTTCATCTATGCTGATGATCGTGCCATCACTGCTCAAGCAGGGAGCTTTGAGATGGTTGAACAGAAGCTCTCCGAAGCTCTAGGTGCTCTTACTGCCTATTACAGGGAAATCCAGCTGATCCCTAATCCATCTAAAACACAGACATGTGCCTTTTCACCTTAAGAACAGACAAGCATCCCGAGCTCTGAGGATTATTACCTGGGAAGGAATCCCACTGGAGCATTGCAGCGCACCCAAGTACCTGGGAGTCACTCTGGACCGTGCGCTGACCTAAAAGAAGCACTGCCTGAACATCACACAAAAAGTGGGTGCTAGAAACAATATCATACGAAAGCTGACTGGCACAACCTGGGGATCACAACCAGACACAGTGAAGACATCTGCCCTTGCGCTATGCTACTCTTCTGCTGAGTACACATGCCCAGTGTGGAACACATCTCACCACACTAAAACAGTGGATGTGGCTCTTAATGAGACATGCCACATTATCACGGGATGTCTGCGCCCTACACCACTGGAGAAATTACACTGCTTAGCCGGTATTGCACCACCTGACATCCGCCGGGAAGTAGCAGCCAATAGTGAAAGGACCAAGGCAGAGACATCTCCAGCTCATCCCCTGTTTGGTATCAGCCAGCACGTCAACGACTTAAATCTAGAA